GGAAGAAGCCAGGGGTGGAGGGGCCAGAGAAGGGGCGGGAGTTGGGGGAAGAGAGGGGCACTAGGAGAGGGAGGAGCAGGGAAAGGGGAGGGGAGCCAGGGCCTGCGAGGGAGGGCGCTGGGGGCGGGCGAGGGGAGGCGGGGGTGGGGGTGGGGGTCTTGCCTGCGGGGGGAGCCGGGGCCGCCCCTTGTCCGGCCACCCCCACTGCCCAGTCCCGCTCCCGCCCGCGGCGGCCGCAGCAGCCGCAGCAGCAGCGGCTCCAGGATGGTGAGCGCCGCTGCCCCCCAGCCCAGGCCTGTCGCCCCTGGCCCGCGCCCCAGCCCAGGTCCCCGGGCCGGACGCGCCCCCAGGCCGCGCACACTCACCTAGGACCCGGCCGGGATGCCGAGGTACGGGACCGCGGACCTGCCGGGGTCCGGGGTTGGGGGAGGTGACCGTTTGGTCCGGGTGTCCGGAGCTTTGTCCGCTAGTGCGGGGCCGGGGAGGGCCGGAGAGGGAGGGGGCTGCGGATCGCGGGTTTCACCTCGGCTGGGGTCGGAGGGCAGGGCCGGCGGGAGACCCTAGCGGGTACGTGGGAGGCGAGGGTCACTTCCCGGGGGGAGGGGGCGGCAGAGCCGGGGATCTCCGCCCGGCGGCGACGGGCACCCGCCTCGCAGCCCCCTCTGGTGCGGAGGCTTGAGCGAAAGCGAACAGCCGGCTCGGGGGGCGTCTGCAGGCCTGGGGGTGGGGAGCCGGGGTTTGCGGGTTCAGGTCCCAGAAGGATCCAGCGTCCGGAGCCCGAGGGCCGGCCAGCAGGCCCCTCCCACTCCGTCAGGTCTTTGTCCAGCGGCCCCTGTGTGTGTGGGAGGGGTGGGGGCTGGGTTACTGGCCCGGAGATTCCCCAGCACGGTGACTGGGCAGTGACAGGAGACTGAGGCTACTTAGGGTCCCGGCGCCCCTAACGCCCACCCTCTTCAAGTCTTCTCCTCTGGCCCGGGAGAACAGAGCCCCAGTCTCAGAGTCATGGCGTTGTACTCACCTTCACCCTGGGGGATACAGGCTACAAGGGGGACCCTCGGAGCTCCCAGGTCTCCAGAGAGGGCCCCTCAAAGTTCCCCACCGCAAGAGCCCTCTCCTGGTCTACACGGAGATTCGCATGCTAGCAACCCCCTCCTCAGAGGGTCCTTCGCAGAGTGTTAAGCACCCAGTAGGTGATCAGCAAATGCTGTTCCCCTTCCCCAGCCCCGCTGGTCCCCCTGCTCCCGCCAGAGGAGGAGGCCTGGAAAGGGGTCGGCGCGGAGCAGAGAGCGCGCGGCCTGGGGCCTGCGCCCAGCGGCGGCCGGGAGCGCCGGGGTGGGTGGATGGGTGGGTGGGCTGTTAAAGGGACGGTCACTAAATCAGGATTAGGCCGTAGGGCTGTCAGGCTGCCGGCCCTGTCTCCATGGATACCTAATTTGGAGGAGAATAGAGGACGGAAGAATGTTTGTGTTGTCGTCCGCACGGGCTGCAGCGGCAGAGCCGGCTCCTGCTCTCGGCGGGGCAGAGAGGAGTGGGGAGCTGGTTCCAGCCCAGCTCTGGGCTTACGGCGCAGAGGGGCTTCCCGGTTCCTGGGGCGTGGGGCCTCCTCAGTGGAGCCACTCAGTCTCTGGAGTGGGCTGGGAAGCCAGATGCCAAGGTGCGAAGCCCTCTGACCCTGCAAGGGACTCCCAGACCCTCCCGGAGCCTACCCCGAAATCCCACAGCCTCCTCCTAAAGCGGCTCCCTCCCCGAGCCTCTCAGTCCGGAGCCGACGCCGTTCCCCGCAGTGCCTTAGCCCCCCCAGGGACGGGCGCGCAGGGCAGCCGGGTGCTGCGGTGCCGCCGCCACCCAGCCGTGGGGACGCCGGTACTCGGTGGCCCTCCGAGCTGCGGGCAGGGGGCGGGGCGGGACTTCCTGGGGTGGGCGAGGAAAGGGGCGGGGCTTGCTGGGGTGGCTGGGCTGGACGGGTGACAGGCCTCGTAAATCCCCTTTCCCATGTTTAACACCATTCTTTCCACTTGATTCCATTGGCGTCCATGGCAGACGGGTGCGACCCTCGTGCCCTCGCTGTAATATCTTCTGGGCGAAGCCCTCTTGGGCCAAAGGGAATTAGGCTGTGTGGGGCAGAGGAGTTGCTCCTGCGGAAGCGTAGATGACCCGCATTCCTGGGGGGGGGATTCCTCCTGCCCCTTCCCCCTCCCCAGGAGAAGAAGAAGGGGCTGAGAGACACAGAAATGAGTTTGGCTTCGGAGACCTTGCCCGGTTCTCTGGCCGTGGTGTGGCTGAGGGCTGGGCTGAGGATCCTGTGACTGTCAGTTCCAGTACCAGCCTGGGGGAAGGCTAGGGAGAGCCACCCAGACTGAGTGTGGTGCAGCAGAGCCCTTTCCTGTCTTTCTGCTCACCCATGGGCACAGCTTTTTATGGATCAGGATTCCCCTCCCTGCCCTGCCTGGGCCGCAGCTTTATTGCCGAGAGCTAGGGCTCTCTACACGCAATTTCACGCCTCTCTGCCTTTGCTCCCGCTGTTCCTCCAGCCAAATGCCTTCCCCATTGTCCCTGTCTTTCCACAACCTCCTTATTCTTCAGGGCCCAACTCAGATGCGCCTCCTCTGCATCACCTCCCCAGCCCCAAGCTCCTGTCACTTCCTTCTCCCTCTGTGGCCTGCACCGGTGCTCCCTTCCACCTCTGTGGCAGGGGTCCACACTGGGCTTTGACTGAAGTGAGCATGTGCTCCCTGGTCCTGCCACCACTGGCTCACCACAGGGCTTGGCACCTTGTGGGTGCCCCATAAATGTTGGCTGAATAAAAGGGGTTTTGTAAGGGCTTTTAGCCAGAGTTTGTATAGCATGGAATCTGGCCACTTTCAGGTAAACAGCTCTGTGTTCTTGGGTGGTAGAGACCCTTGGATGGGTGCTCCTCCTCTCCCTTTCCCTTCTTCTCCGCCTCCTTCTCCCCATGACCCAACCCCCCCCACCACCAAGTCCAGGGAGGACTTTGCCCCTTCCCTTCTCCACAGACCAGCATTCTTTCCCTGCCATTATCATCCTGTTAAACAGAGAGGCCAGTCAGGACCCATATGGATCACATTAACAATTGCTTATTATCTGGGGCAGGACTCCCCCGACTCTCCCCCCAACCCCAGCTCTGACTGCTGCCCCTCGCTGGACCCTTAGGAGCCCTGCCTCCCCCTCCCCCCACTGTCGGTCAGCTAGGGAGGGCAAGGGACAGGCTGGTCTCCCTTACCTTCCCTGTGCCTCCTAGCAGAACTTTGCCTCTTCTGGACTTGGGAGTTAACAACTCCTTTACCTGATTTAATGAAAACCAGGTTCCTGGAAGGAGTAGGCTCCGTGAAGTTCCAGGGCTGCAGCTGGGAGATGTGGACTCCAGGCCTCGGTGCCCCTGTGCTCTGCAGCCCTGAGAACCCTTGCTCTCCAGAGGACAGAGACTGTGGGTGGGGGTGGGGCACATGAGGCCAAGCAAGGGGTGCTGGCATCTGCCGCCTTAGCCTTGGGTTGGTCCTGCCCCCTTTTGGGAGCTGGCTGTCTGGTGAGGGAGATCAGGGCAGAGGGACCCTGCCAGGCTCTGTGGCATTGGGTTCCCAGCCTTCCCCTATAGTCAAAGCAAGAAATCTGCTAGAGCTTCCCAGAGCAGCTGCTGAATTGGCCTTGAAGGATGGGGAGTGTAGTTCCTGTTTAAACCCATATATATCCCAAAAATACTTTCATAGGGAACGGAAGGAACCTCCAAGATTACCCATTCTGGGGGTCCATAACTTTTTTTGATTTACAGAGCCCTTGGAGGGACTGATGAAAGCCATCCCCAGAAAAATGCACTTCCATTAATGGACACCAGACTTTGCATTCTGCTTTAGACGGTTCTTGGATCCCCTGAAGCCCATGGGGACCTTCTGTCAAGAAACCCTCAGGCCAGGCACAGTGGCTCACAATTGTAATCCCAGCACTTTGGGAGGCTGAGGCAGGCAAATCATTTGAGGTTAGGGGTTTGAGACCAGCCTGGCCAACATGGTGAAAACCCATCTCTGCTAAAAATTCAAAAAAATTAGCCAGGCGTGGTGGTGGGCGCCTGTAATCCCAGCTATTGGGAGGCTAAGGCAGGAGAATCCAGGTGGCAGAGGTTGCAGTGAGCTGAGATCGTGCCACTGCACTCCAGCCTGGGTGACTGAGTGAGACTCCGTCTCAAAAAAAGAAACCCTCACCCCAATCCAGCCCTCTCCGATGTGCTGAGGGTAGAGTCAGGCCTGCAGCCTGGGTTTCCTGACCTGCCCACTCAGTGTTTGATCCACCACCGCCTTATTACTAGCAGCGGGACTGCCGGAACCAGGGGACCAGGGATATGAGACCTAGGTGCTGGGCCAGCCTTTAAGTGGGAAGAGTTCACACTGCCTGGGTTGGGGTCTGGGCTGGTTGTCTCATCTCTGACTGTGTGGCCTAGGGAGAGGCTGTCCAGGCATTTTTTTGTTTTAGGGTCCACTTGCCTCCAGGAACAAGTGGCAATTTGCTCTTCTCCGAGCAGTTTCATAAGCATCTTGATGAATCAGTTAACACTTTCACACACTTGTTAAACACTCTGTATCTCATCTGCGAAGTGGGAAAATCGAGTGAAGAATGGTGTCCACCTCCTAAGCAGGGTATGGTAAGGATGAAAGGAGGCAGGAGCTGGGAGACCTGAGTCCTATGCTTGAATGACTCTAGGTGCAGGTGCTCAGGGCTGTGGTCACTATCAGGCCTTTTCCCGGTTTGCTCAGCCAAGGAAAGGGGACTGCAGTGCGAACCCCCTGAGTGCCTTCTGTCTTTTCCTTTAGTATGGAGGTATGGGCAGTGTCAGCCTTTGGAATTCATCTTTAGGGCTGGAGGCTGAGTGGGGAGTTCTCAGTGAGTGGGAGAGCTGGACAGAGTCCACGGCCTGCCTCCGTAGCCCCAACTCCATTTCATGATGACCAGTCATGACCCCTACCCTAGAGACCAAGCCTTGAGCTCAGTGACTCCCGGCTGCTAGCCTGATGTAGCTCCAGACAAGAAACTTCATCTGTTTGGGTTTCAATTTCCTCATTTCTAAAATGGGGATAAGAAGCTCACATGATGGTGATGTAGCCCTGGTTTCCTTTTTTTTTTTTTTAAGACGGGGTTTCACCAT